CGTATTGTTTTAATATTTTTATTGTATTTTTTCGTAATCGTCTTATTGTCCCGTGTGCCGATACGGTACAAAGGCGTACTTTGCGGATCTCGCTCGTCTTCCCAGAACATCCGACAGGTCGACAATAATTAAATTAATCGCTTTTCCCTCTTTTGTGAGGACGGGCTTGTCGTTGGGGGCCCATTATCGGGTGCGGTTAGGGGGCGACAATGGCCTCTAACAGGAGGTCCTTAAAGACTTCACGGTCCGCCGGGCCGAGCTTAGTGTGTGTGTCAGACGAACGCACACCGACCCTCTAATCCGAGTTCATCAATCTGTGACAAAATCCACTCCGGGCATCAAGAGAGTTTAAGCAATATAAATGACTCCAGGTGATCCGTTGTTTTCTACAAGTATACTGCACAAGAAAAACGGTTATCTCATAGGTACAAAAAAAAAAAAAAAAAAAAAAGCTCAACCATATAAACGACATTTAGGACCGATTTCATAATAGTAAAGTAATACTCATCAGAAAACATACATATTTTGTACCAAAATATTTGGTATACATTTTTAATGATTGATTGATTGTTGTCTTTAGCACTCCATGTTAGGTTTTTTGGAACTTCCTTACACCTAAAGCGAGTTTTCAGAGAAAAAAGGAGAGAGTGTGAAAAGTGAGAGAATGAGAGAAGAAAAGAGAGAATGACAAAGCGAGAGAGAGTGAGAGAGAGACAGAGGGAGATGGACGGGTAGAAAGTTACATAGACAGAGAGATAGATGGCTGCAAAAATAAAAAGATAAACAGAAAATTATACATATAAAGATTGGTAGAGGTAGAATAATAAAGAAGAATGACAAAAAGATAGTACATGAATAGATAGATAGTTAGAGCGAGATAAAGAGAAAGAGACAGATAGATAGATAGCGATAAACAGAGAGACAGACAGAGAAAGTGAGACAGAGTAATAAACAGATTGGTAGAACAAGAATAATAAAAAAGAATGACAGACAGATACGTACATACATAAATAGATAGATGATAATGAGTAAGATATAGAGAAAAAGATAAATAGCAAGAGAGATAGAGAGGGATGGATAGATGGATAGAAACAAAGAGAGTAAGAGAAAGAGCAACAGATTGGCAGAGCTACAATAATAATGAAGAATGACGGTCAGATACGTAGAAAATTAGGGGATATACACGTAGTGAGACATAGATAGATAGGTAGATAGCTAGACAAAGAAAGAGAGAAATCTGCAAAGAAACATACATATAAAAGAGAGAGAGAGAGAATCAGAGAAAGTGAGAGAGAAAGATAGAGATAGATAGATAGATAGATAGATAGAAAGTGAGAGAGAGAGAGAGAGAGAGAGAGTGAGTGAGAGAGAGAGAGAGAGAGAGAGAGAGAGAGAGAGAGAAAGAGAGAGAGTTGTTAGAGCAAGAATAATAAAGACGAATGATTGTTAAATACATAAATAAATAAATCACTAATGGGAAATAGAGAAAGAGAAAGAGCTCCAGACTGAAAGAGGGAGAGGGAGAGAGAAAGAGAGAGTAATCAACAGATTGGCAGAGCAACAATAATAAATAAGAATGACTGTTAGATACAGAGATAACTAAGTGGATATATAGGTAGTAAGAGATGGATAGATAGGTAGATAGATAGACAGAGAAATAGATAAATCTACAGAGAAACATAAATATCAAAGAAAGAGAGAAACAGAGAAAGTGAGAGAGAGAAGGAGAGAGAGAAAGAGTGTTGGTACAGCAAGAATAATAGAGATGAATGATAGTTAAATACATAGATAAATAAATCGATAATGAGAGATAGAGGAAGAGAAAGAGAGTGAGAGAGTCTTTACAGAGTGAGAGGAAGTGAGGGAGAACAGGCAAACAGAAAAATGGTCGGATAGATAGTTAGAAATATATGTATGCCTAAAGAAAATGAGAAAAAGAAAGAAAGAAAGAGAGAGAGAGAAAGAAAACAGTTTACATTCTTTAATTATGTACATAAATCAAAGAGCGTAGATAGGTAAAAAATAGAAATATAATTGAAATTCATAAGTTCAAAATTTGAAAATCGTTTAGGCAAGCGAGGAATTACACCACAGCGAAACTAGACGAGCCTCGAGTCAATATTTTAAATATCTAAATTTTTTCAATTTTACTAATTTTTACAATAATAATAAGAAGAGGTAGCATATTTGAATTGGTTTCTTTTCAAAATGGCCCTATTCGCTATGTGATTTTATAGTGCTTAAGCGGTCTCTCCTTTATGATTTTTTTCTTCTAACGGATTTTCCGTTTGTTGAAGAAACACTTTTCCTTTTGCCACCTCAAAGCGTGTGAGATGTATTTCTCAATGAGCTTTCAGGTCCGAAATCAATTAGGTGAGAAAACATTATTGCCTCCGGCCTCTGGAGGATTTTTAATCTTCTTTTCCTTTGCAATTTTTTTTCTATGTCATTGTTCGTCTCGAGTGGGATTTTTAAAGGATTTTCTTTACGTCTTTTCCAGATGAACCAGCAGTGCAAGGTCTGCAACGAGCCAGCTGCCGGTTTTCATTTTGGGGCTTTCACGTGTGAAGGATGCAAGGTAAAAAAAAATCTTTTTTTATTTTTTTGTATTTTGTACCACCCCGTTGCGAAGTAAATCAAGGCTTTCGTTCTTCTCGCTCCAGTTCGGTTTTGCAAAATATTTGGAGTGAGGCCAGACACTCGGTCCTGGCTGAATATAAATCGTACGTGGCGCAACCGGTTACGACCGAAGCCACGAGGTGCATCCAAATTTCAAAAAGCGATTACGAAAATTTTTATATTAATATCTGATCGAACGGTTCTGCCCTATAATACGAGCAAAACTGGAAGTATTAACACATGGTGAAATTTTTTATGAATAAATCTGGTTGATATTCAGTTAAAAACTGGAAGTTTAGATTTTTAAAAATATTCATTAAGCAATCAATTGCAAAAAACTCATTGAGGACAATTTCTGAATAGATTAAACTGATCATGGATAATCCAGCTGTTCAAAACAGTTAATGAAATCTTTAAAAAAACCGCCTAGACTTATATTTGCACTTTCTGAACGATTATAAGTTTGTTTTTTGTTAATTAGCATTCCTAGTAAGTAACTTTCTTACTGACAACAAAATGAGATTTTATTGATTTAAAATAATATTCGAAATGTACAAAATGATGAATTGAATAATAAAAAAATATATGCATTTTTTAAAGATTGCCTTTTGCTGAACACTAGGTGGGAAAAATTGGTGAATCTTGTCTGCCTTGGATCAAGATTCAATTTTTTTTAAATCACCTTTTTTTCCCATCTTATATTTTATGTATTTATCCGGCCAGAGGTGTGAAGTAATGTAAAAAGCTCTTTAGGCGACCAATAAATTACAGCTTGACGCTGGATTCAGTTTGCGTTGGCCAATAGGTTTGAAAGATCGTCCACATTTTAAGGACGAATATACTTTAAGGTGAAGTATGACGAAGCGCGAAATACCTGTGCTTTATTTTATTTCGAAAGAAAAACCCAAAAAGTACATACTTGAATATTTTGGCTATAAACTTCCAACTGGCCGGTTCTGGTCATTTATTTTTATTTTTTAACTATTTGTTAACTTTGGGACTAATTAAAGCAGATATTTAAGGGCATAAAATATTGTAAATTGCCCTGAGTAAATAGGTGGTTGAACTTTGGAACTTTTGAACTTGCCAAAAAAAGCCTTCCTATTTCTGATTTCTTTATTTAATACAATATAAAGAATCACAAACTTTTCCATAGAATGAAATCTTTCTTATATTAAATTCCCAAAGCCAAATAAAAATTTAAATTTTTGTTCATCTTTCCGACTTATTAGTTCGTTACTCGTTCTTTCTAAATCGAAAAATTATTTTACAAAACGATCATCTATATTGTACCATCAAAATTTTACCAGATCATCAATTTTGTCTTTCGAGCTCATCATTCCACCACACATAAACTTCACGTAGATTCTGATTGCATTACCCCATGTCTCGAGCAAAAACCGTACGTGACTGGAGTGTTTACAGATATTTCTCAGACTTTTTTCAAAGTGTGGCATGTCTATTATACAAATTAAAACTATTTTTATCCCCAGGCCAATTATCTAATTGTACAATCGTACCTCAAGGAGAGATTTTTCGCTGTTAACCAAGGATCGGAGACTTCCGAAATGAAGGACCTTGCGGACGTTCTACATGCCTAAAAATGTAAAATCTCCCGTCATATTACAAAATCACGTGTCAACAATCAAAAATTGGAGCAGGCTTTGGGAAAATAAAGTTTAACCCTCAGTCACAGCACATAACCTTTGCACTATCTCTTATGCAATGAACCTGTTCCTCAATCCGACAAAGTCACCTGTTTAGGACTTAAATATGATAAAAAAATAACTTGGAATCCGCCCTTTGCGATTTAAAAAAGACACTTAACAAACGATTTAAAATATTTTATTACCTAGTCAAGCATCGATCAAAATGACCATTAAAAACAAAACTTTCGACATAAAACCTTCGACATTTTTAATTAAACCTATTTGTGTAAGGGTGAAAAATTTATGGATTAGCCAAATATTCAAAGATTATAAAGTTTTCAATGAAAGATTTTACGACTGTTTCAGCCCCCATGTAAAAGACGCACTTTACAGGGATGTTCACATGTCAACTGTTTTTTTTTTTTTCATCCATCAAACCTATTACAAACGTTTTCTCACAAAATTACAAGATCACACTAACACACAGATACAATTACTCTGTTAACAATAAAACACTTTACAGGGATGTTCACATGTCAACTGTTTTTTTTTCATCCATAAAAACTAATTACCAACGTTTTCTCACAAAAAAGAACACACTAACACATAGATACAATTACTCTGTTAACAATAACACACTACAGAGATGTTCACATGTCAACAGTTTTTTTTTCATCCATCAAAACTAATTGCAAACGTTTTCTCACAACATTACAAGAACTCAATAGCACACAGATACAATTACTCTATAAACAATAACACACTTTTGCACCACCCCTTTTTCTATTTTTTTCCAATTTTAAGAAAAAATACGCTTAAAATATTTTTCTCTTTAAAAGCTAGAAAAAATATTTATATTTTTATGATTTAAAATACATGAATAAATTGTTTCAAATTCGGCCTTTACCGATAATTTTAGTCTGATTATACTATCTGTGTTGCTGAGATGAAGAAAAATTGACAAAGGCGGACAAACCTAATTATAAGTCATTGTCTTGACTCTCCCTGCTTATATCCTTGATTTTGCACCACCCCACTCTAGTCTTTTCAAAGCAAGACGCCATTTAAAAAAAAAGTACTTCAACTTTTCCGTCCCTTATAGTCTGGCTATTTTTGCTATATTGGAATGATAGATGAAGAATAATTAATTTTGGTAAATAATAATATGACTTGTACTTGTTAAACGAATCTTTACTATTTTGGAAGCTTATATAATATGTAATTAAATTTTACTATGGGTTACTGGGGGGGGGGCATTTGTTCCGGATTATGCGACTTGATTGATCTCCGTGTGTTTCCAGCCCAAGATCCACTTCGTCCCGGGCTATCGAATATGCTCCAACTGGAATTAAAAGCGGGTTTGAAATTTCATCGTCCGTCCCGGAATCCGCCCTGGAGATGAGGCGAAAAAAGAGGCCATTATTCACCAGATTCCGCAACTCGTCCCTTTCAGTGATAACATCTCCATTGAGAGTCTCGCTCGAGTTGGCGGCTACTCTTTCGGAACGGAAACGTTTACTTTTGTAACTCTTGTAACCTCGTCGCATTTCTGGACGGTTTCGTACTGGCGAAAAACGGAAAAACAGCGTTGTCAGCCCGTGGGAACCTCGACCAGTACGCCCACACGTAAATATTTTTATTTATTTCTAATTGCACATTTGAAAATAGGTTTTCAACGCCTGTTTAATCTGTACCGTGTCCCGTTTTTATTTCTAAAATAAGGAAAAAATCACGTGGTTCGACCTGTACGGTGAATATCATGAATGTTGGTTATCATCAAGGAAACGCTCTTTAGACTCACTTTCGCCGAAAGGCTCATCTTTGTTGACTAATTTATTATAATTTAACACTTTCATGCCCAAAATTGCTCCAAAGCGATGTAAAGTGTAGCCATTTTTATTGAAGGTTAGAAGAAAATCCCATGAGTATAGGGCGGAAGCAGTGTTTTTCTTCGATGTTTCATCGAGTGTATTGGCAACACTGTTTTTTTCGGCGCCAATCTAAAATCTCCATGTTGGGATCTTTTATTTCCAAAATGGCTCTTCATCTCTGCATCTCGTAACACTTGTTTTATTTGCCAAACATACGAATTTTCTAATACAGTTTAGAATTTAACCCTTTCATCCCCAAAGTTGCTTCAAAGCAATGCTAAGTTTAACAATTTTTTAAGGTTAGAAAAAAAATCCCGTGAGTTTAGGGCGGACGCAGTGTTTTTCCTCCAATGTTTCGTCTAGTGTATGGCAACCCTGATGTATTTGGCGCCAATCTTTTATTTCCAACAGGCTCTTCACCTCTGCATCTTGTAACACTTGTTTTATTTTCCAAACATCAAATTTTCCAATCCAGTTTATATTTTAACCCTTTCTTGCACAAATTAGATTCAAAGCAATGGTAAGTTGAGCAATTTTGTTTAAGGTTAGCAGAAAATCCCGTGAGTTTAGAGCAGAAGTAGTGTTTTTTTCTCGATGTTTCATCCAGTATATTGGCAACACTGATTTTTTCGGCGTCAATGTAAAAACTCCATCTAGGGATCTTTCATTTCCAACATGGCCCTTCATCTCTACATGTTGTAACAATTGATTTATTTGCCAAACATACGAATTTTCTAATTCAGTGTATAATTTAACCCTTTCATCCCCAAAGTTGTTTCAAAGCAATGCTAAGTTGAGCAATTTTGTTTAAGGTTAGCAGAAAATCCCAGAGTTTAGAGCAGACCCAGTGTTTTTCCCTCTTTGTTCATCCAGTGTATTGGCAACACTGATTTTTTCGGCGCCAATCTGAAATCTCCATGTTGGGATCTTTTATTTCCAACATGGCTTTTCACCTCTGCATCTTGTAACAATTGTTTTATTTGCCAAACATACGAATTTTCGAATACAGTTTATAATTTAACACTTTCATGCCCAAATTTGCTTCAAAGCAATGCCAAGTTTAGCAATTTTGTTTAAGGTTAAATCCCGTGAGGTTAGGGCGGATGCAGTGATTTCCCTTCAATATTAGTCTAGTTTATTGGCAACATTAATGTATTTGGCGCCACAGCACTGCATTTCGTACCAATTGTTTATTTGCCAAATATACAATCCTTTTTTAAGGTTAGGAAAAAATCCCGTGAGTTTAGAGCAGGCGTAGCGTTTTTCCCTCGATGTTTCATCCAGTGTATTGGCAACACTGATTTTTTCGGCGCCAATCTCGATATTGGGATGTTCCATTTCCAACATGGCTCTCCATCACAGCACTGCTATCTTGTAACAACTGTTTTATTTGCCAAACAAAATTTTTTATGTCCAGTTTATAATTTAAACCTCCGATC